ATGGCCCGGGGCCAGTAAAAGAGTATGTCGGGCTAGTTGATTGGCCAGTCACTTGCCCGCGCGGGCCAGTAACTGGCGATCAGCAAAACAAACAGCAAACGTCATAAACAGTGTGGCGCGAAGAGTGTCAATGTTAAAATGCCAAAGAACTACGAGGCTGGACATTCCTAGAGTCATGGAAAACACAGTACACCTGGTAGGGATGGATGCGTACTCGGTATTAAACGGGATTGAATTTTGAAAGACCGCTGTATCGATAAGCTCGGACGTTACTGTTATTGCTGTCGCTGGAGAAATACATAGGCTATCATTTATTATTGCTATAAAAAAATTAACCATCTCGCTGAGTCGCCAGCCATGTCTAGGCCTATATATAATAAAATTAAACCATTTGTCTGTGATGCATTTTGCTATTCGCGCAGTCCAGAAGAGAGAGAGAGAGAGAGCGAGAGAGATCTCACGCGGTGCCACAGCGCGCACAACACCTGACGGAGGACAGAATGGTCAAAATGACTGGCTTGGAGATTCACTTAAACAGTTTATGTCTAAAATGGACGCAGTTATGGAAATAGTTGGGAGAAAATAATGGTGCCCAGTAGTAGACTTACATCTGCACTCGTTCTTAAAGGGGAAGCAGTCTAATATGCGGACGATTGCTACATTACTGCGAATCAAACAACTAAAGGCAAAAAGAAAATCACTCACTGCTCTTGAATGAATACTTTAGCTTTAATAAGTAAGATGATGAGACTGAGGGAAAAAGAGAGAGAGAGTGATCGAGATGAGGAGAGAGCAGGTATTGACAAATAATCTACTGGACGCTGAAATTAGGTTATCCCAAAGCGCCATATAGGACGCTTTTGCAAAAGCGTAAATATCCAACGCACATGGCACCCTTTAACGTAAAATAAGACGCAGATATATTTGGGCAGAAGGCGCCCCCTAGTGGTCTAACCCTTACCCTACACCATACCTAAACTTAACCATAACCGAAGCGTCTCATCGTCGTCTTTCTCCTTAAAAAAATATTCTTTAAGATATTGTCTCTTAAAGAAACGTGACCACAGACAAACCTAAATAGACCTGTCTTCGGGGAAACATGGTGTTATCTTAAAAACTGTTCATTTGTGGCAAAGTTCCCCTCAAGTTTGCCAGAAGCAAGGCCTATATTTTGGAAAGGGCAAGTGCAGCTAGATTCAAGCTAAACCTTTTCTAGATTATTGACATCTGCACAGCACAACTAGAAGGGTTTGTGCAATCAGAAAAACACGGAGATGGAAAAGACACATTTAACTGCACCCACAGATGTCATAGCAACTGAAATATCCAAGCAACCGAACAAACCAGTGAGAATAAATAGTATTCACTGGGGGAGTAGGGCTCTTACACAAAGTAACCTACAACACGAGAATGCATGTGTCAGCCCAACAACAACTAGGCTAAAGACACCTGTAACCTAAACCTCAATTATAAATACATTAGTATGCCTGAGAGTGCTCATAATTCATTGCTGAACTACAATGTCATGTGAACAGTTGCCAAATAACAGCAAACAGCTGGTTCAAACAGGAGAGAAAACATCATTCAACCAACAGTTTAAAAAACTAATTTAACAACCCTTTATATACACTAATAAAGCCATTCACATTAACAAATACATGTTTAACTGTTTTATTATTATTGATGATACTAAAACACAACTTTTTAATATGCATGTTTATAGTAATTTCATGTGCACTAGTTGTTTGTCTAAACTGAGTTGTCTCAAAGTAAACTACAACTTGAATATAATTTGATTAACTAAAATTAACTTAAAAATTATCTGACTTAATAAAGTGCTACTTATTAAAACTGTCTTTCGTATTAATGCTGATAAAACGGTCATATGCTCAACTCATAAACATTTTAAGTTGCAGGTGTTTGTTTACCCGGATGTTCTTGATGTTAAGTTTTCAGATTGATATAACTATATGATCAAGGTGAGCAAAAGAGTTGTTAGTATTAAATCATTTTTTTTCTTAGGGCTGTGAAACGATTAATCACGATTAAATCGCATCCAAAATAAAAGTTTGTGTTTACATAATATATGTGTGTGTGGTGTGTATAATTATTTTGTATGTAAATACACACACATGCATGTATTTAATAAATATTTGCATGTATATACAAAATTTATATTAAACATAAGTATAAATATTTGATATATTAATAACACATTTTTCTTAAATATATACATGCATATGTGTGTATTCATATATACAAAATAATACACGCATATATTATGTAAACACAAACTTTTATTTTGGATGCGATTAATCGCAAATCGTTTCACAGCCCTATTATTCATTATGATGTTGAAATGACATTGTCAGATGACATTGTGACAGATTTAACATCCTTTTATGAAATGCTTAAACATTGTTCACTCTTTAAAAAAAATTGCATCGAGGCTTTCTTTTCTCAGAAAGAATGTGAAAGTGTGAGATATTGGTTATATTTACAGTTTTAAACTATTTAAATATAATTGAAATCGATTTTATACACTTAGAGCAATATGTTATCGCGGTTTTTGATACATTAATTTTTATATCGTGCAGCACTAACTTCTCTCCAAATGCCAAATTATCATTTGCCGGTTCTTGCTTCAATGAGTCAATAAGCTGCTGGTTCCGCTCAGACGGATTCAGTCCAGTTCGTGAAACAACCCGTTCCGCGAATCGGTTCAACCAAATCACTAAAAAGATTCGACTCAAAAGAAAGAGTCGTTCGCGAATGGGACATAACCACCACAACCAACTAACTATTTTCCTCAATCCATTCATATCTGACATGTCCTCGCGCTGTACGCCCAGAAAAGACGACTATTTTGTCACAGACACGATGTCGGTGTCCAATACCTACTGCTTTAATGACACCGACCATATATGAGCAGATTGACGTCGTTTTTCTATCGATTGGAGGAGCTTAGAGGGGCGTCGCGTGCTCGGGGGAGAGGGGAGTGTGCACGCGGCACCCCTCCAAAATCCACTCCGGTGCTTCCCTTGGCCTTCAACCCACGGCCACAGTTGCCTTCCCAAACATACAGAAGCCGCTCTGCTTAAACCAGCACAATGTATGTCCACGGAACCAAGAGCTGGCCTCTAATGCACATTTGCTGCTCGCATACACACTGACCTTCCCCTTCCAAGTTTGCATAAAACTTAATGCAACATCCATCTGCCATTAAACGCTTCAGACATTCAAGGAGAGAGAAAGAGAGAGGCGCACAGTTGACACTGACCGTATTTCTGGAGCTGTCGATGCGATTTTTACTGTCCAGTCGCCCCGTCGAACTCTACGATCTTCACTTTGGATGCATGTGCAGTTGTTTGTGTTCTGTGCTCCTCCTCGAGAATCGTGTTCCGTTTTTACGGTTTTTTGCTCTCTCTTTCTCTCTCTCCCCCTCTCCAATGGTCGTTGCGTGTTGATGTCTAGTACGCTCTTGTTGTTTGTGTTTTAGGGAAGATGGCCGTCCTACTCGGGTATACCACGTGACCGGAGTGTGTCGAGTTGCTCTCAGAGGCGCGTGAAGAGAGTGACACCTAACGGAAGACTTGAAATGACAACCGGAAATGCTTTGTCCATAATAAAAGTCACAATAATTATATTGCTAAAATCATTGGACCGAATTTATAAACACACACACAATTAAGTAAATAAGCCTATCCACACAAATATGGTACTACTACGTCATATTGATAATAACTAGTAATTGTAGTAGGTTTTGTTTCCAACTAATTTGTTTAGACAATAAAGTTTTAAGTTTTCAAGCTCTTGTTGGATTATTTAACTTGTTAACGAAACGTTATGAGCACGGCCATCATATTTCAAATTGTTTTGCGCAATTATTTATCGTGTTTAATATCATTGGTGGTGGGTTGGGATCTGGTGGGGATAAACATCTTTGGAATTAAATTGATAAGACTATTCGAAACTTTATGTAACGTTACCCCAAATAGACACAATTCAATGACAGTTTCTCCCTTTTTAGAATAATTTCTTCACATAGATGTCTCGTTTACCTTAACACAACATCTGGGTTTAATATTTAAGATGTCAGGAAACGAGAGTCATGCACTACGGTTTTTAGTCTTTTATTTATGTATTTGAGCTTCGTATAAAAAATGACTATAATAAATTGAATATACTATCACGAATAATACGATGATTTTTTTGAAAAAATAATAATATTAATACCATATTTTTAAGGATTCTGGAGTACCAAACACATGTTAATCATTTCAGGGCCATGATATATATTAAAATACCATGGTCATGGTTTATTAAAAATGGGAAGACAGATACAACGGAATATGACGTTATCACTGTCTTTTATTTTGACAACTTCGTGAACAAGCTAGTGTTGTTGGATTTTCCGCGAACATGGAGGCGATTGTGTCAGATGTAGTGGCACCAGAAGATCTAAAGGTAAAACATTTTAATTCTCGCCTTTAACGACTGCGAATCCAAAATGAAATCGATAAAGGTTATATGTAGCAAAATCATCGCTATTCGGTTATAATCGGAAGTTTCAGTTGACGCAGCTCTAAGTTACTAAAACGCATCAAAACATCAACAATGAACATGACGTAGCTGCTATGTCTGTTGATGTATCCACAACTCAATGTTAGCAAAGACTTTACACACAGTCTTAAAGGGATTTTGTTGTAAGTTAATGACTTATGTAAGACTAGACCTGCATACACCCTTAAGATAAAAATACCTATGTTATTAGTTTTGTCACACCTACCATCTGACCTATTACATAAATGGAAAGAGATGATTCTCTGCTATAACTCACGATGGAGACAAATTCTTTCTATAAAAGTTAGTCTGTGTTTGTCGGCCAGGGGGAGCACATGATCCTGACATCATCCTCCCACTGATGCAACTGAGTGAATCTGATTCCCAGTACCCATCCACTGATGGGACTTTTTTTCTCTTCCAGAGGTTTGAGAAGAAGTATAATGCAGAGCTGTTGAAAGGACCTGTTTCAAAGGAAACCACCTTTGAATACGCCTGGTGTTTGATCAGAAGCAAGTACACAAATGATATTGTAAAAGGCATTCATCTTTTGGAAGGTCAGTACTTCAGCAAGTCTTAGTTTTTGGTTAAGGGACAGTTCACCCAAAAATGAAAATCCTGTCAGCATTTACTCACTCTCATGTCGTTCCAAATCTGTATGAGTTTCTATCTTCTGTTGATCACATTAAAGGGATAGTTCACTTTGAAAGTAATTTTTGGTATGTTTTAGCTTACCTCAAGGGCATCCAAGATGTAGGTGTCTTTGTTTCCGCAAGTAGTTTCAATTTTGATATTTTAGGGTCAAACCGTTCTTGTCTGTCAGTCATATAATGCAGGTCTATGGTCACCACCTCAAAGAGCATTCACAGAGAAGTCCAAATCAAACATGATTTAACCACAGTCACAAAGCGCCCGCACCCTCAGAACACTTGGACGTGGCTGTGGTTACAAGAGGTAAAAACTATATAAATACTGTTCGTTTTCTCACACAAACCGCTTGTTTCGTGTCTTAGGCCATCAATGTGTACTTACATTTACGAGTCATCAAATCTTGTTTAATTTGGACTTCTCTGTGCATGCTCTTTGAGGTGGTGACCATAGACTTCCATTATATGACTGACAGAAAAGAACGGTTTGACCTAAAAATATCAAAATTGAAAATACTGTGGAAACAAAGACACCTACATCTTGGATGCCCTTGAGGTAAGATAAAACATATCAAAAATTAATTTCAAAGTGAACTATCCCTTTAAAGAGATTTTGAAGAATGTTGGTAATCAAACAGTCGATGGTAGCCAGAAAAAATACTATGCAAGTCAATGGCTACAACTCAACTGTCTGGTTAGCAACTTTCTTCAAAATCTCTTTAATGTGTTCAACAGAAGAAAGAAACTCATACAGGTTTGGAACGACATGAGAGTGAGCAGGTGATGACAGAAGTTTAACTATCCCTTTAGTTTGGGCCTGCTTGTGGTCCAGCTTTAATGTTCTTGACTTCAAATTCAGTAAAACGTGATTAATATTTCTTTTGCCAGAACTGGTTCAAGCGAGTAAAAAAGACGATCAGAGAGATTTTCTCTTCTACCTGGCTGTTGCAAACTACAGACTCAAGGTGGGTTAGTATTTTCACAGACAAATCCAATTTGTTATCTGGGACGATGATGACGTCACTGCTAATGTTGTTGTTTTTTATATCACATATCTTTGTCATCTAATTAAATCAGTGTTTCTCAACTATGTTCCTGGAAGCCTATGACTTTACTGCATAATTTCAGTTTGGTCACTTTATTGTCACTTCATTATATAAACAAGTGGAATGTATAAACGGTTCAATCAGAGTTTCAGATGAAGTAGCTGTGTTAGACGTAAACCTGTTGAGGCCGTCCTGCTCATATTTTACCCCAACATCATGGAAAAAGCATACACTCTAAGGCCCGTCCACACTACTGCGTTTTTGTTTAAAAACGGAGAATTAAAACGAAAACGATCTCCGTCCACACCAGCGTTTTACCTGCGTATTAGAATTTATCTCCGTCCACACTAAAACGACTGAAAACGCGGATCACGTGACCATTCACCAACACTGGGCATGCGCGCGCTGGTGTAAACAGTGGTTGGCGAATCAGGGAAGGACACGTCATGACTGATAACACCCAATCATAGAGCCGTCGTCGTTTGTAAACTCCTCCTCCACACTAAAACGCCCTCCGGAGATTCAAAATGCAGCTGCAGCGTTTCTAAACTTCTCCGTTTTAGGTCTTTGTTTTTCCCGTTTTAGTCTGGACGGGAGGTGCAAACGTAGCAAAAGGTCTCCGTTTTTAAACGAAAACGCAGTAGTGTGGACGGGGCCTAAAAAATGCTGGGTTGTTTCAACCCAAACTGGGGTTAAAAATGTAATTAAACAATTTACAGTTGAAAGCGAAAGTTGATCTTGGGTTAAAATTTTAAAATTACATTTTTAACCCAACATTTGGGTTTGTCCATATTTGACCCAAATTTAATGTGGACAAACCCAAATGCTGGGTTAAAAATATAATGAAACAATTTACAGTTGAAAGCGTAAGTTGAAGTTGGGTTAAAATGTTAAATTAATTACATTTTTAACCCAACATTTGGTTTGTCCATATTAAATTTGGGTCAAATGTGGACAAACCCAAATGTTGGGTTAAAAATGTAATTAAACAATTTACAGTTGAAAGTTGAAGTTGGGTTAAAATTTTTAAAATTACATTTTTAACCCAACATTTGGGTTTGTCCATATTTGACCCAAATTTAATGTGGACAAACCCAAATGTTGGGTTAAAAATATAATGAAACAATTTACAGTTGAAAGCGAAAGTTGAAGTTGGGTTAAAATGTTAAATTAATTACATTTTTAACCCAACATTTGGGTTTGTCCATATTAAATTTGGGTCAAATATGGACAAACCTAAATGTTGGGTTAAAATGTAATTAATCAATTTACAGTTGAAAGTGAAAGTTGAAGTTATGTTAAAATTTTAAAATTACATTTTTAACCCAACATTTGGGTTTGTCCATATTTGACCCAAATTTAATGTGGACAAACCCAAATGCTGGGTTAAAAATATAATGAAACAATTTACAGTTGAAAGCGTAAGTTGAAGTTGGGTTAAAATGTTAAATTAATTACATTTTTAACCCAACATTTGGGTTTGTCCATATTAAATTTGGGTCAAATGTGGACAAACCCAAATGTTGGGTTAAAAATGTAATTAAACAATTTACAGTTGAAAGTTGAAGTTGGGTTAAAATTTTAAAATTACATTTTTAACCCAACATTTGGGTTTGTCCATATTTGACCCAAATTTAATGTGGACAAACCCAAATGTTGGGTTAAAAATATAATGAAACAATTTACAGTTGAAAGCGAAAGTTGAAGTTGGGTTAAAATGTTAAATTAATTACATTTTTAACCCAACATTTGGGTTTGTCCATATTAAATTTGGGTCAAATATGGACAAACCTAAATGTTGGGTTAAAATGTAATTAATCAATTTACAGTTGAAAGTGAAAGTTGAAGTTATGTTAAAATTTTAAAATTACATTTTTAACCCAACATTTGGGTTTGTCCATTTTTGACCCAAATTTGATATGGACAAACCCAAATGTTGGGTTAAAAATGTAATTTTAAAATTTTAACCCAACTTCAACTTTCAACTGTAAATTGTTTAATTACATTTTTAACCCAACATTTGGGTTTGTCCATATTTGACCCAAATTTAGGTTGACACAACCCAGCATTTTTTAGAGTGTATGTAGTGGCAGTGGCACCTATTGTGCGTTTAATTCTTCTGTACCACCTTTTGAAGTCAGTCAAATTGTAACCAGTATTTGAAACACGAGCAAACCACGATATTCTTTTTAAATGTTTACTTCTAAAACATAAAACAAAAACTGTTACATGGGGTACGCACGGTCAAAAAACTGTGTTGCTTCCAACGTCTCTAACTTCAAACCAAAAAAAATCCAATCACTTGCGTTATGACGTAGTGCGATCTGACTGGAAGCTCAAAATAATTAAATCTAAGCATTACTAAATATACATTTTAAATCCAAAAATAAATAAAATAATAATTCTTATAAACCTTCATGAAATATTTTCTTACTATTTTTACTAAATTATTAATTCAGGTGAACTAATCCCTATGTGGCTCTTACAGTGTATATATGAAGAGTTCAGATGCAAAAGCCTCTAAATGCCATTTGAAATTTTCTTCTTTAATGATGATTTTTATCAAACTTGTATATTTAAGTTCAGTAATTTCACTTAAATAACAATTAATAGGTAATTATCATTGCCATTTAAGTGAAATTACTGAACTTAAATATACAAGTTTGATAAAAATCATCATTAAAGAAGAAAATTTCAAATGGCATTTAGAGGCTTTTGCATCTGAACTCTTCATATATTGAATGCCTCTTTTTAAAGATGTATTTTATTCTCATCAATGAATTTACTTGACCAAAAATACAGTAAAAGCCTTAAAATATTATTAGAAAATAAAATAGCTTTTCTGTTTTCATATATTTTAAAGTGTAATATATTCCTGTGATGAAAGCTGATTTTCAGCATCATTACTCCAGTCTTCAGTGTCACATGATCTTTCAGAAGTCATTCTCATAATAAGGGAGATGTATGAATGTAATCTTTCTCACTTTGTTTAGCTCTGTTTACCACCCTGCATCTATCTTTTCTTCTCTTCTCAGGAGTATGAGAAAGCACTGAAGTACATTCGTACTCTGCTGAAGACTGAACCAGGTAACAAACAGGCCCTGGAACTGGAGAAACTCATCAACGATGCGCTAAGAAAAGGTGAGATACAACGACAGACAAGACAAACATCAGTCAGTGGCCTTATTAAATAGGATTTTGTGACATACGCTACCATTCAAAATTAAAACCAAAAAAATAATATGTTTTTTTTTTAAAGAATGAACGCATTTAACTCTGCAAGGACTCCCCTAAAAATCAGCATATTAGCATCATATGAATAATAGAGAAATCGCTGCTTAAAATTAAGCTTTGTCGATATGCCAAATGTACTGCTGATAACCAGTGGCAGTGTCCTGCATAACAGCAGGAATGGAAACGCACGTGTATATTTTATAGCCCGACCGATAAAGGATTTTGAAGGCCGATACAAATATTTTGGGGTTTTAAAATCCGATATTCCGATATATCGGCCGATATTTATTTATTTATTTTTTGTCATGCTTATTTGAGTTAAGAGAACTGATGGGGATGTTCTTTTAATTGTTATTCAAGCAATGTATGTATCGTGACCAACTCAACGAGTGTTGCCAACAGGGACGGTGTAGAGTGCCCTCTGGTGGACAAACTATACAACTCCAACACTCATGACATGGTTCAAGCGTGTTTAGTCCTATTTTATTTTATTTTCGAAATATTCATTTATCGGCCATTATAACTGCCGATACCGATAGTTTGGAAAATGCCTAATATCGGCCGATAATATCGGTCTACCGATATATCGGTCTGGCTCTAGTATATTGTCATACAACCAATGTTGTAGAAAGTTACGTTTCAAAGTTATGCATTATTGCGTTACTCGCTAACTAATTGTATTATTTAGTTACTTTTTATAGAATGTAATGGGTTACTTTTTCTCATCTGGGCTGGGCTGTTTTTATTTTTAATAACAAAAAAATTATATTTTTGCCAAACATAAAGGGCCTTTCACATCAAATGTGAAATGAATAAGCTTCGGGCTGAAGAAAATGCAAATTTACTCAAAATGCAACTCAGTACAGTTGAGTTTGATCATCGAAGGCCAGCAGCAAAGACTTTAAAGTGAGATTAAATACATAAAGTATATTTGTGTAATTCAACATTGAATTATTTCAGGTTTGTATAATATTCTGATTTTACATTTTACTGTTTTTATTCATTTTTAAGGAATACTGAATCTGTTTTTGTGCAAGTGAGATGATTAAATGCTCACGTTTAGTCTAGAACTACAGTAACAATCATGTTCACACACACAACGATTTATCTCAACATGAGGACAGGAGAGCTGTCAGTCAAATGTGGAAACAAAGTAACTATTTGGAAAAACTCTGATATTTTCTTGTAAAATCAAAAGTAAAGCGTTACTTTACTAGTTACTTGGAAAAAAAGTAATCTGATTACATTTCTTGTAACACTGCTTACAACCATGTTTACATGAATAGTGTGATATCTGTTGATATCCAGCAGATGCACATGTAAACATACTCAATCTGTTGCATTAAAGATACAAGTGAAGAAATCTCTCCGTTCTTTTCAGATGGCTTGGTTGGCATGGCGATCGTTGGCGGTATCGGATTAGGTGTGGCCGGATTGGCTGGTCTTATTGGTTTGGCCGTGTCCAAAGGTGCAAAGTCCTAATGTGACGTTTCTGAGAAGCGTACTTTGATTCCTTTCCTGTTCAGAAAAGAGACTTAATGATTTCATAAAATCTTATAATCACATAAAAACCATAAGGAAGCCTATCCCTTTTTTATTTTGTATTATTCTGCCATGCCTTTCATAATTACGCCAGCTCTTTTTGGTATGTATAGAAATGTGGGGTTGGAATAAACTAAAAACTATGTTTTATTTCTCTGTAATCATTAAATTGTTTTAATGCAGTTCATCTACCGATGATTGCCAAAGATTTGTCGTTATGGATGAGGTGTATTGTAATAGCATGCACCTTTAATATATAACTGCATTTACACTAATGGTAATCAATATTTTGATAACTTAAGTAAGACCTCACATGTGTTAAAGAATTAAAATGTGTGTTTGCTAAAGTGTATTTGCGTGCCTTGCACATTATTTGTCTGGTTTGTTTGGAAGTGTCATGCGTGACCTGGGTCAACCTTGTAATTCATTTTCTTACAAGTCACAGTTCATCAACCGTCGGTTTAAATGTGCTGTGGACTGTGAAAGTGTGTGTGTGTGTGTGTGTGTATCTGTACGACTTTAATTTCTGCTCCTACTGAAACACAGATCTGCATGATTCATTGTTAAAAGATCTCGATTCAAACACCCACACAATCCTATTTCTAATTTTTATTGACTTTTAAACCTTTGACAGGTACACTGTGTTCATGCTAATCGTCGTGTACAGCACGAAACGGATTCACAAAACATATTGTTTAACCTTACAGATATCATTATTTCTGTCTTATGCAGTTTATCTAAGAGGTACTGGGATAAATGCTTATATTATAAATATAAAATCACCTTTTCTCCCAGTTTTGTTTGTCCTCCACTCATGCTAATGTAAGTTTTATTTCAGTTTGATGTCCCGTTGTACTGCCTAGTAAGGTTTATAATGATTTTATATTATGTTTGCCTCAGTAAGACTGGATATCCCTTAAAGGAGTAGTTCACTTTTAAAAAAAAAACTTTTGCTGATAATTTACTCACCCCCATGTCATCCAAGATGTCCATGTCTTTCTTTCTTCAGTCGAAAAGAAATTAAGGTTTTTGATGAAAACATTCAAGCATTTTCCTCCATTGGACTTCAATGGGAACCAAACGGTTTAAGGTCCAAAAGACAGTTTCAGTGCAAACTGAAAACTGTTCAACGGGCTTTAAACGACACCAGACGATGAATAAGGGTCTTATTAAGCGAAACGATCGCTCATTTCAAAAATAAATAAAAGTTTAAGTTTTCTAAGCTCAATGCTCGCCTTGCCCTGTTCTGTGATACGTGTTCGTGACTCTCCTGTTCGAATCAAAATGAACAAATCTTTTTTCGAGTTATTTGGTTCATTCAACGAACGGAAAGAACGAAATGACTCGTTCGTTTTGATGAATGAGTTCGAACAGGAGAGTCACGAACGCGCATCACAGAACAGAGCAAGGCGAGCATTTGAGCTTATAAAACTTAAACTTTGTTATTTATTTATTAAATGAGCGATCGTTTCGCTTGATAAGACCCTTATTCATCGTCTGGAATCGTTTAAAGCCCTTTGAAGCTGCACTGAAACTCTCATTTGGACATTGAACCTACTCCTTTAATGATTAAAAACACCGGGACATTTTTAAAATGCTGATTTCCATTCTATGACTCTAACATATTTAATTGCCTAATTAGCTTTTACTGAGTGCATTCTCTGTAAAAATCGCTGGGGAAGTTTTAGATTCATTAGTCTAAAGATCTGGGAATTGTGGTAAGGAAAAAACTGCTTTAATTTCTGAAACTGCTGGTTAAATAGTCACTTACAAAGTCACTGTCCTCCGTGCATCATTAGCTCAGAGACTTGGATGTGGGACTATCTCCAACGTTGATTCAAGTCAACAACTTTCAGACCTTGAAAGTAACAAATTCCCTGTAAAACATGTTTATTTAAGATAATGGCTGATAATAGCATCCAATTTCATGTTGGGTACAATTGGTTCTCACATTATTAATCTCATGCACATGTTAAGACATCTCAGCTTTACAATGCTGTTGTTTATGGTTGCCATCAGTGACATCATTTTATAACACTGCATAGGGGTTACTAATTAACTGATAAAGCAAATGATGAAAATAACTCTTCTGTTTGTCTGTGACTTGACATGTCTTAGCTTTATTGAAGTTTGTGGGACATCATATTAAATTAAGCACTAACGCATTTTCAAAAAGTCAAGATCCCAAATATAATTTAATCCCATTTAAGTCAATTTTAGTGTTGTACAAGTTTAGTTTAGATTAGATCTGATTGTTTTTTCTCTCTCTCATTTTATGTAGTAAATGGAAAACTTTTATTAAAGCATTTTTGTTTTACTTGTATTACAGCAAATCCAACGATCTTAATCCAAGTACGGGTCGTTTTCCAATCAGTCAAACAAAACCGAGGCAAATGTTTTCCTAGCTATTTAAAAAGTATGAGTTTTGAGTTCACTCAACTATTGATGTCACACAACACAATAAAGGAATCATAAAAAAAGATTTACAGCGTCTTGGGTTCAGAGCTCAAACTTCATTTAGCTACTCACAACCTTGTTAACACGCTACCACAAATATGCCTAAGTGTGTTTACATGACACTTTCTTCTGTGTAAAATAGGCAAACAAATATCCCACACACATATTTCCCACTGACATGTTCCCACACGTTTCAATCCTGCTTGTGGAAATCGTGCTGAGTAAACAAACACATTTTTACCGGCTAATCTCGTCTGTCTTTGGTTTTATACGGCACACAGGTGTCATTTAAAAGACACTTTCACGTGTCAATTGCACAATTTGATTTAACAGCGTAAACAGGGATAATTGATCTCCCATAGAGCTCCATGTCAGAATTGATTTGTCAACATTGAACACTGAAAATAAGGGAGTTTTCCCGGAATCCATCCCCAAAATAAGGGATTTTTTTTACACGATTCTTACCCACAAACTTTAAAAATAAAGCACGAATCCTTAAAAGTCTAAAGAGTTAATAACTAGCCTAGATAGTGTCATTTAAAGAAAAAAAATCTACATTTGGATTAGCGGTGTGTTGCTCTTGCCTTTGCGACAACAATTTCAACTGTTATCACATCTTCCAAAACCCACAAAATAGGGAAGTGGGCTGTCTGTTTATTTCAATTACATTTACACATTTTGTGTAGTTTTCAAGAGCCTATATTTAGCCTGGTGGTGGACCGTCACTCAGAAGACACACTGTTGTTATTGTAGCCTATCGTATCTTTATATCCTCCTGAGGCCCAGAACGTTTTTTTCCAAACGTTTTTTCTTCTTCTTCGTGTAATCACATTGTTAAGAGCATAAGAAACAAATGGAAAAAAAAGAAAAAGATATTTTATTCATATGTTATATGACCTTAAATTAATATATAGGCAAACTAATGGCAATATAAATCGATTACTATAATTATTATTTGTTTAAATTACATTGATATCTGAATTTATGTAAAAACCTTGACTTTCAAACATCAAAATGTAAAATGTAGGCTATTCGAGTACAAAATGACATATAAACATCGTTTCCTATTTTTTATTTATTTTTTTGCCTGGAAACGCTTTCAACACGCTTGCATGTCGCTTGAAAAAATAGGCGTCAGTTCTATTTCTAGCATGCACGCGTTTTCTGGAGACGCGCGTGTCACGCAGGCAGTGTGCAAGCTCTAATCTGTTAACATGGGAGCCGAAATAAAAACGGACACGCCACACAGCCAGTGTGTCTCCGGCCAGCGCGCGCGGCGCCGCATCCGAGGATAAACGACTTCAAGCCGAATCAGCCCGAGCTCGAACGTCTCACACAATCATAGTAAAAAAACGGGATATTTTACGAGAAGATACTAAAACGGGAAGACAGCGGGAAAAGAGCAAAAATACGTGAGAAACCCGGAAAAAACGGGAGGGTTGACAGTTGAGTTTGCTGTGTTAGAGAAGGGTCTGAACTGAACAATATCGATCTGACGGAGGATATGAGCATGATTCAGCATCTCTGCAAAAAGTCTGCTTTCTGACAGAACTCTTTCTATGGTCCCCATAAACATCCACTTATCAAAAGTGTCATTTAGGTGATGTGAAAACTATTGTGTTTGTTAAAAGAGCAATTAAAGTTAAGTCATAGTCAAGCAAGCTATTCATAAACCTGACCTTTAAAACCTATCTGCTTATCACGTGCTAGCGCTTCAACTCCGTGCCGGCACCTTCGGTCCTCAACATTATTTGATACATTGACTATGTATGTATATAATGTGTGTACACTCTAAAAAATGCCCAGCCATTGGGTTCAATTTTTAAATTACATTTTTAATCCAATGTTTCAGTTTGTCCATATTTTACCCAAAATTGGGTTAAAACAACCAAACGCTGGGTTGTTTCAACTTAAATGTGGGTCAAATATGGACAAATCCAAATGTTGGGTTAAAAATGTAATTAAACAACAATTTACAGTTGAAAGTGAAAGTTAAAGTTGGGTTAAAATTTGAAATTACATTTTTAACCCAACATTCCGGTTTGTCCATATTTGACCCAACACAGCATTTTATAGAGTGTATATAATACACTCTAAAAAATGCTGGGTTGTTTTAACCCAATTTTGGGTCAAATATGGACAAACCCGAAATGTTGGGTTAAAAATGTAATGTAAAAATTTAACCCAACGGCTGGGTTAGTCCATGTTTGACCCAATGTTGGGTTAAAACAACCCAGCATTTTTTTGAGTGTACAAACCGGCCACTTTATTGTTACACTTTAAAAAAAAAACAAAAAAACGCTGGGTTGTTTCAACCCAAATTTGGGTCAAATATGGACAAACCCAAATGTTGGGTTAAAAATGCAATTAAAAAAATTTACGGTTGAAAGTTGAAGTTAAAATTTGAAATGACGTTTTTAACCCAACATTTGGGTTTGCCCATATTTGACCCAAATTTGGGTTCAAACAACCCAGCATTGTTTCGAGTGTACACTCTAAAAAATGCTGGGTTGTTTTAACCCAATTTTGGGTCAAATATGGACAAACCCGAAATGTTGGGTAAAAATGTAATGTAAAAATTTAACCCAACGGCTGGGTTAGTCCATATTTGACCCAAAGTTGGGTTAAAACAACCCAGCATTTTTTAGAGTGTAGCGGGTTGGACAAAAAGTTGCCTTCTGGACAGTTTGTGGCACTGATTTGCCACATATATGACATGATATAAAAATGTATCGTTTCCGCATTCAAATAAAAAGAATTATCATGTTATCGGTGTCGGCCCAAATTTTATTATTGGTGCACTAAAAATGTTGCGTTGGGTCAAATATGGACAAACCCAAACGTTGGGTTAAAAATGTAATGGAAAAATTTAACCCAGTGGCTGGGTTTGTCCAT